TGAATGAAGTGAGGTCCAATCAGGTTTTTTTCTACATTTCATAGTCATGTGTTCTTAGGGCATCATCAATAATAAACATGGGCTGTCACCTGGCTGTTGAGGGATGCATGAATATAAATTACATCTGCATAATCCCACATAAATGCACCTTCACGTACCACTTTAGAGAGCTCTATCACAGAGGTTTTTGACTGAAAACCGCCCCAACAAATCTTCAAATGTGTTTACCACTTCAGCCTTGATGTGTGCTTTATGACAATGTGAATCCCATCTGTTTTAAGATGCTTTTTCGGGCATTTTGCTTTAATGTAATGCTGGTAGATATAGAGATGAGGAGGGAGAAAAGGTGTTGACATGCAACAAAGATGTCATGGTTACTGAGCCGCCGGGACGCTTCAATCACATCTTATTCACACCCGATAAGGTAGACATCATGAGGTCTTACAACTGGAGAAATTATCATTGATCTTAAGTGCATTTGAAGCATACATTTCGGCCCCTCTACTCCACACCTACGCCTGGAGGCCCATCACTCTCATTCGCTCTCATCCCGACTCAATGTCATGCTTTGTCTACCTACTCCATGTGTCCATTTCACACTAATTCAACCCAGAAAATGATCCTCAGACAGGCCTCAGCTGGGACCTCGCAGGTCTGATTGATGAGAAGGAGGGAGGAATAGAGGAAAGAGAGAAGGATGGAGGAAGGAGAGAAGGATGGAGGAAAAAGAGAAGGATGGACTAAGAGAAAGTAGATTAGGTGCGCTGAAATCCAACCCGGCAATCTGAGATATCAATAGCTGTGTTGATGAACATCTTTGACACAGAAGTTGGTCAAGCATGCAAACGACGGTGTTGCCATCGTCACTGATTAACTATGCACACTCCTAATAAGTGGTGGACTGTAACAAATACATTTACTGTTAGTATTTCAGGTACTTTACTGGAGTATTTTCTTTTTTGTACCACTTCATACTTCTACTCAACTACATCTCAAAGGGAAACACTGTACTCTTTACTTTCATACATTTAATGACATCTAAAATCATTTTATTTTAATATTTTTTGCGGTACTCTTTTTCTTAAGTATTCATTTGTGATTTATGTTGTGTCTTTATGTTTAATGTGGTTTTACTAGCTCGATATTAATTACTTTTTTAATTGTATGCATTTATTTCTATCTCTGTAAAGTATCTTTGAGCACCTATAAGAGTGCTTGATAAATAACATGTATTATTATTTATGATTTGCATTATTTCTATACTAAAGTACTGTTACTAAAGTACCATTCTCAATGCAGGACTTATAATGGAGCATTCTTACAGTGTGTTACTCTTTTATTACTCTTTTCTGAATACTTTCTCCACCGCTGCTTCTAATCAGTACCCTCCCCCGTGTATCTACACAGCAGCAGTAGCACATTTTGGATCAGACCCCAGATCCACTTTCTGTTGTTGCCCTACCTGCAGGCTGCAAGTGGAGCAGGCCTAACTAATCCATCAGCGATAGCCCGCTCTGACATCCATTATTAATGGTAAGCTGATTCCACTATCCCCCTGTCCATTATTTCCCTCTTTCTCCCAATCATTCATCCTCCACAAATGCATTTTCTCTTGGTTTTTTATTTTCAGTCCATTCTTTTAATCCCCGTTTATCTGTTCCTGTGCTGTGTGTGTGTGTGTGTGTGTGTGTGTGTGTGTGTGTGTGTGTGTGTGTGTGTGTGTGTGTGTGTGTGTGTGTGTGTGTGTGTGTGTGTATGGATCATGTGTGTGTTTGTGTGCATGGGTTTATAGAAGGTTTTTCTCTCGTTAGACAATCATCTCTTTTTCTCTTTCAGGGCAGAGTGGACCACAGGGAGGGGATGAGAGACATGATGACAGATCTACATGCTAAGACACACACACGCACGCACGCACGCACGCACGCACACACACACACACACACACACACACACACACATCTCAGGATAGATAGATATTTCTGTTTTACGTTACTGTTTCTTTAACACTTTTTCCAGCTACCTCATTACAGTTGACCCTCTTATCACTAACCCATTTACCACATTTGTACTCACTTTAAAATAGAAAGCCAATGTGACTCCTTTGCGCTAAATGGAGCAGAAACAAAGGTGCTAAATGTGTGTAAAGACACAGGTGACATTAGGGAGGATAAAGAGCCCACCTGTCTCCACACACAGTCCTATTGTCCTCGAGTCCTTTGAGAGTTGTATCCCCCCCTCTCTGCTTTCCGTTTCCCTCCTATTCATCATGTCATACGCAGATGTAGACAAGGTATATTTACCCAAGAAGCTTTTTGAGGTACTCGCATGTAAGGATTTCCCCTTTTATCCCTCTTTATTCTAACGATTCTAACCTAACAATTAAACCTTTCACCTAAAACAGATTTTTTTTCCTGCAGTAAATGTCTGATGTGCTGGGGTTAACCCGGGATAGATTAGAGAGTTAGAGCGGGACCCGGAGGGGCAGAAGCTTTGGCCCCAGGTGAGAGGCAGCTTGGGTTTCTGAAAGCAGACTCCCCCCCCCCCCCCCTCCGCCTTCCAGGAACAGGGGCCAACTTCATCAATAATTCAACACACCTCAACTCACCACTCTCCGCAGCAGGATGGTTCTGTGTGGGCGAGTGTGTCGGAGGGAGATAAAGCTTTTGTTTGTGCAGAACAAGTGTAGGAAGAGAGTAGACAGTAACACAGAAGATGCTGCTTTATATACTTTATGCATGTTACACTGCACAACATTTCCCTTCCCTTCAACCAATCAGTTAACAGTCCTCGCAGTCTGTCGGTTTCTGCCCGAAGCTCCCACTGCTACCCAGGAACAATAAGAGGGGCAGAGGTTGGGTTACAGCGCCGGGGGCTGCAGAAACTCGACCCTGCAGACAAGAATCTGCAGCCTGCGGATGGGTGTCATGGCCAAGTATGCCGACAAGCATTGTTAGTGTATGCTAATCCACCTCAACTCCAGCTTCAAATCAAACCAGAGAAACCATTTCAGCAACTGTCCTCGTCTGTCGAGTGGTAACATTTACATTACATTTCATTCAGCTGATGCTTACAATAAGTGCATTCAACCATTAAGAAACAAACTCAAAAGCAAGAATCCTTGAGGTACATTGTTCTATAAACGCAACCAGATTAAGTGCTACTGCATTAAGTTAACTTAAAACGTAATCCTTTGTAAATGCGAGTTACAGAAGAGATTTTGTTAATAATTTTTTAGCAAAGATACTTTCGACACTGGTACGTTTTCAGTCTTCGATGCACAGTGACTGACTGACTGACTGACTGAAGTATGATTTTAGTTGTGGGATCACCCTGAAACCTGCTGTTGACGGCCAGCAATCAAACAAACTCAGAGTGGGGTTTGAAAACCTAGTACTGAAACTCAAAAACGAACCAAATCTAACCGAATGTAATCTCAAAACACAGTTTACAAAGAGCACAATCAACGGGGAAGCCAATAAAACCGAACTTAATACTCAGCGGGGTCCAAGATCTGTTTCAATCAAATGTCCAGGATGCCATGACACCTGATAGCCACAATTACATTGTTTTCTAGTTTTTAGACCGATCAAAGAAATCCAACCTTTGAGAAAAAGCCCAATGTGGAGCAGGTGTAATCCATCAGTATTGTAGTGTGATGTCGTGCCTGCATGCTGATCAAATAACGCACTCCAACGGCCCCGTGACAAGGCCGAGGGGTAAATACATAATACAGTATCAACAGAGCATTACTGCAGTATATAGGTTACAAGCAGCTGTTTCAGTAAAGCCTGAAGGGTAAAAGCCTAGTGTGTTCACACCATTACCCAACAAAGCCAAGAGGTACATTTGAGAGGGAGAAAGGGGATTTTCCAGAAGATCACCATTTATGATAGATTATTTGGCTCATTTCTATTAGAAGTGCTGAATTTTATGAGGGGTATCCAGCGTTACAGGAATACAACACTTTCTCCGATAACATCAAATCTCATTCATGAAAACTTGAACAGATATTCCCAACATGGGTGCAAAACAAATCTGTTATTGGACCGATGCAATACTTAATACCCACGGTGGATTAAACCTAAATCAACTGCAGCCCTAAAACTAATCGTATCAGGTCTCAGACATCGGACTGATTGTCTCCCCTATCAGCCTCATCTTGTTTTCCTGACTATCCAATGTGATGTGAATGCATGTTGATGTGCAGACTACATTACCCATAATTACCATGCATCCCTTATCAGTTGTCAATCTCAAGAGAGTGGCCCATTCACTCAACGATGCATATTCAGCTACTTCCTGTGAATTGTAAGCTCAGTTTTCTGGAGGCATATCAGTGCACACAGTATGTAAGTATATAGGCTAGTAGTAGTAACTGTAGTAGTTGTAGTATTTGCGCCCCCTCTGCTTCATTATGCATGTGTGTAGGTCAGTGTCTCATGTGACCACCTTTAGTGGCACATCAGGTCAGACTTAAGCCATTCAATCACATCTTTGGGACCCTGTGGAAGACTTTAGGGAATAACAGTTGGGGTTTGTGAACACATCCTAAAGGCTATGCTTTTTTTGTGTAGCATCATACATACACTGACGCATTTTTAACCAACTTTATTTGACTAGATTTAGTGCTCACAATCTTGTTGAATTTAGTGACTGTTAATTATGTGTCGTGCAGTTTTGTCAGTGTCTTGCAGCTGCTGAACAACCCCTGCCTATGTAGATGTGCCTGGTTAATTGGACTGTGCCATTCCCCTAAAACTTGAGGGGTGTTTTTAAAGAAGCCCATCATCGTTTAATAGTGAAGAGTCTTCTCTCCCCTGCACTCAACTATGGACTCGCCAGCATTGTTATACATTCCTGCAGTGTGGAGAGGAAGTTGGTGGGCAGAAGAGCACTCATCCTGTCACCCATTCTTTGAAGTTGTGTGTATAGTTTTAGCGTACCCTGGTCCTTCACGGTGCATGAAAGCAAGGCCACTGATGCGTCTGTGTTTTCCTTACCTTGTCTTATGGAGACATATCGCCCATTGGCGGCGGTCAGGACCACCTGTGGGTGGCTCTCCTCCAGGTCAAACAGTTCATCTTTGCCCGGCTTGGAGCAGCGTCCGGACCTCAGGGTGCCCGTGGGCCCCATGGGGGACAGATACTTCCCCTCACAGTCTTTAAAGGCCAGCTTCCCACACTTCAGCTCCAGCGTGTACGCAGTCGCCCTCCCGCTCTGCGTCACCAGCTTCCCATCGTTGCTGAGGAAGCGGCTGTCGCAGGTCTTTAGGCAGTACTTTCCCTCCTGGTACACCAGGGTGAGGAGCGCCGCCACCCCCCAGGGGATGTTCATATCCACGGCGATCTCCCCGTCCTCCATGGAGAGGTGGGCGTACCGCTTTCGGGCCACGGACAGCAGGTTGGCCTGGGGGTGTAGCGCCAGGTGAACGGCCCACAGCTCGGCGTCTGTGATGAGCTGGGCGAAGCAGGACAGGTGGTCTCGAGACCCTCCGAAGAAGCGCAGGTGCGGCTCGGACTGCAGGGCCCAGCTGCCGTTGGACTGAGCCACGATGAGGAAGCGGCAGTCTGCGTGCTGCCCGTCGGCCTCGCAGGTCACCCTGCCGTCCTTGTCGGAGGCAAGGTAGCGGCCCAGGTGGCTGCGCAGGTAGACCACCTGGGGGTCCTGAGGGTCCTGCTCCAGAGTCCAGATCTGCTTCTTCTTCAGGCTGGGAGCTGATGCATTCAGCTGAGGGAGAAGGAAGCAGAGCGTGAAGGCTTTTTAGTCTTGTGTTTAACTGACATTTATTAATTTAAGATAAACCCTGTTGAGATTAACCATCTCGTTTTCAAGGGGGTCCTAAGATATGGTACAAACCGCAAGAAATGAACAAGAAAACAAGCAAACAAAACAAAATGGACATTAGGCAGAGAGGCCAAAAACAAAAAATGTATCCGAGCAATAATACAAATAAATAAATACAAATAGTGCTTTGTACTTGTGAATTCATCAAAAGCATGAACAGTTAAGAGCATTTCAAACATTTCAAAAGAAGTTAATTGTCCTATATTTGCCTTGCTACCTTAGATGCCCGAGTGACTGGAACCGACACTATTCCATAAGTCGGTCAAAAAGGACCCGTATTAGAATAATGTGTTTTTATGCCATTTTTGTCATTTTGGTTAAGAAAAATCACTTGTATAATATTTAGTATTATATTTTGGTTCACACTAGAAATATTTTATATTTAATTTTCCACTATTTATCATTTTAGAAAAAAAAACGAATTCGATAGAAAATGCATGCGGGTCATTTTTGACCCACTTATGGAAGCTTGGGGTAGTAATACAAAAACTACAATTTCTTAAAATTTAAATTTAAAATTTGAATGGCATGATATCCAAAACATGTTTTTTGAGGAATAGCTGGAATATGAAATTATAAAAAAATGTAATTACAAATATACTTCAAGAAAACCGCCTCACCGGGTCAAAAAAGACCCACTTATGGAAGCTTGGGGTAGTAATACAAAAACTACAATTTCTTAAAATGTATAACATTTAAATTTAAAGTTTGAATGGCATGATATCCAAAGCATGTTTTTTGAGGAATAGCTGGAATATGAAATGATAACATTTTTTAATTACAAAGATACTCTAAGA